CCCCCCCCCAATATAACTCAGTTGTAATTTTATTTTCTATGGCTGTCTTGTTCTTTGGGTACCATATTGCGTCTTTCACATCTTGTAGTTTTGGTGGAACCACTTCCGCTCTGATTCACTGTGTGCCCTCCAACATCAGCTGTCCATTTTTATAGTGAATGTATTAATTCGGGTCTGGAAGCAACCCTTTGGTACTCGGTTATCTGTGATAAACGTTCCTGGTTGTTTCACCTTTTTTTTTCTTCTTTCTTTTCTTAATAGAAAAAGGCACTACAACTGTGTGTGTGTGTGCGTGCGTGTGTGCGTGCGTGCGTGCGTGCCGAGCGACTCTCCTGTGTTTCCCCGCAGCAGGAGGGACGCGGCTTAACACAATGCAGTTCCAGGAAACAGAAGGTTGCTGTAAAGTGCTCTGGTAGCTCCGTCTAGTGAAGCCTTTTATAGGATCCGCTGAGCCCTCCCACGTATACTTACATCGGGCTAAGCTGGACCTATGCATGTATACATATTTATAACTGGAGTTCAGCGTTAAAGGTTGTTACAAAGTTGCACGTGTTACAAGTTAAACATTTATCTGTACACTGCATGCCACGGTCAGAACTAAATTAGTTACTTGTGTTTATAATGTAAGAACATTGAGGTTTAATAATGCCGTCTTATCCCTTTTCACCCAACCAGTGAACTCCTAATACTGCAATCTTGTACTACATGAATCCTAATCAAACCCTATTATTCTGGCATGCACTTGAGTGTATTTTATTTTAAAGCGCTCATTTTCAACATCTATCAGTAGAGTGCATGCGGTCTGTGCCGTGGCTATAACTAATTAACAGATATGTTTTCTGGGAAGACTAAGAACCTAGGGGGTGAAATGCAGTTATAATGTTATTCCCAGAAACTGTTATTTCGGCAATCTTTTAGGCCCCATTCACACTGCGCGATTCGCAAATCGCGTTTTTCCCGCGCGATTTGCATTTTGCGCGATATCGCGCAAATGCTTGCATTGAGCAAGCTGGAATCGCGGCAAAATCCGCTCCAAAAAGGGTCCTGCTGTAGACACACGACCCGCGACAGCAGGACCCTTTGCCCCACTGCAAAGCATTGAAGAGCGATATCGCGCGGTAAATAGCCGCGATATCGCGGGAATTACCGCGCGATAAATCGCTCAATGTGAACGGGGCCTTAGTGTGTTGTTATCCTAATCGAATCTCATTTCATTCAATGAAGAGAAACATGAATGTATTTTTAGTGAGTGCTCATTGATGGGAAGATTGACTTGACAAACGTTTTTAATGTTAATTTAACATGTTTGCACACTTGTGTTCCATATTTTTAGAATGGGTATTTCGTATGCAGATTGAGCAGCTGTCGATATGCACTGTAGTCCGTATCCCTACTGAGCAGCTGCTAAAATGAAAATCAGCTACACAGTGTTTTGTTTTCAGACAGCAAACATGTGTGCAAATAAGAAGCAACCACAAGTGGAAGATTACATTGCTCAGCCAGTGGATGGAGGGATCTCTCCTGCTGGGTAGTGTATTAGGGCCGCCTCAGCTGTCTAAAAATGGAAGCAGCGGGGTGTACAATTGTCAGGCCAAACTGTGACAATTATTGTTCTGGTATTCAATCAACTTTTGTGGTGCCGACTGGGCCACCCGTGGCCCAAGTTCCTGCTGAATCAGCTGAAATGAGAACCACGTGAGGCCGGTTTATGCAACACTAACATAAAATCCCCTAAATTTAGTGATATTGCAGGAGATTATAAAAAGTGTTAGGAGATGAGTGTCTCCTCTCACTGGAATTACTTAAAAGGGGGAGGGAAATCTCCCAAGAATCTCCTAAATGATTGTGGAGGAGGAAAAAAAGAATTGCTAATAAATTCTGCTGCACAATTAAATTCTGCTATTCTGTGACCGTGCCGGAATACCCACCACTGTTTGGCCAATAATTTTACACCTGCCTTCAATATTTTAATGACATGGGGTGGCCATGTATCAAATGTTGGCCGATTTAACAAGAATCCGACAAAATTTGACTTTTGCAGTCCTTAGACTAGCAGAGAACTACCGAAGGAGCGAGCCGACAGTGGTGCAGTACTTTAGATCTCTCACTAGAAATGTGTTTGGATAAGCTGAGCTAACTGACAGCTCTCCCTGTGTGAGGACACCTCCCTTGTTCTACAGCCTGAAAAATGAATCTTCCTTTGTCACATCAGAAACCGCCCAAGGATCGCAAACCGAGACTGTTGCTTCTTTTTTATGAAGTGGATTATGGAAAGTCTGGGGCAATAAGCACAGACAGGTATTGTTTAAATGCTAGCTTGTAAATTGTGAGATCATCAGACTGAGCAAGAAGTTGTTTCAAACACCTTTCTTGAAACCCTTTTATAATGCATTTCCACATTTGAACTTTACATTTGTTACATGTTCCCATTCACATGGCAGAACGTAAAAAAAAAAAAGAATTGCAGCTTGCCCTTCTTTGATGATGATGTTTCTGCAAACTCCAGGACTGAATAATCCTGCTTAGTACTCACTATCTGGGTGAGTTGTGTTTAAATAATCAACCCTGGCTGTACTGTGCTAGCAGATTTTATCATCACTTGTAAACTAGATGAGCAGGACTGTCTGTCCTAACCAAAACATTTTGCACTTCAGTGTAAACATCAATAAGCGTGAAAAAAACTCTGTCAGTCCCTTATTAGCTCACTGCCATCTATTCTAACCACTAGATGTTGCCTATTGAGTCCCATGTATAATCCTGCTCCAAAGAAACAGCTAAAAAGTCAGCTTATTTTTATTACACACGCGTGTTAATGGGAGGAGCACATAAAACATATAGGAGGAGGTTCCCAAATTTGGATGCAAAAGTGGAAGTGCCCTTAAAAAAAAAAAAACCCACCTGAACCACAGATGGGGATAGACAACTTCTGCACAAAATCCTCAATAAATAGATCCAGGGCTAATAAGGGTTTAGGGGGAGCAAATAGACTTTGCAGCAACTATTGCTCTCTGAAGATTGGGAACACCCTGACAACCTTTGTGGACTTAGGAGTTTTAGATGACCTAAGCCTGGAAACAGAACTGGTAGAAGCAACCGGCTGCTTGTCCTCTAGTTTTAGACCACATTCACACATGCAGCGGCCCAACAGAGTACACGCCCAAATACTCGGTAGCGGTACTGATGCTAGTATCAGTGCATCCCTAATGGGCACCACTGAAAATGATAGGATTTTTCATGTTAAGCGTGGTCACTCTACATGAAGCACATGACAAAACACTCAGGTGTAAATGCATAGCTATCAATACAGCCTAATGCATGGACTGCATTTCCAGACATACCAAATCCACTATAGAGTCTGACTGTGAAAGTGACGAACCGCAAGTATAAGCACTCATGAATAAAATGGTTGTAGAATTCTTAACCTGAAATACAACTGGAAACAAAACTGTGGACTTCTAAAAACACGAGTGCTAAAATTATGTGTGGTGTAAACGGATTCAGGATTATAACATGGGAAATGATTAAGGAGGTTTTCTGATTTTAATGTTTAATAACCAAACCAAGACTCCAAAACACCTTCATAAATAGATGAATTCAACATCCTCAGTGTGCAAATCAGACAAGCAGAGAACATCTCTGTCTATCCCATCAGCTATCAGTTCATATCCAAACTGAAATGAAGATTCTCCAATCAGGAAGACTTCCTTTTCCCCTGGGAAAGGTGGGAGGAGCCCCCTGTCCAAAGCTTGGAATAAACCCATTGGCTCTAAAGGGCGAACAAACAGTCCTTTTCACAGGTCCCGCCCAGGAGCAGGCAGCAGAGATTTCTGATGCACTCACACAAATGTCCTTTTTATTTGGCAAAACTATTATGACTCGCCTTAAAAATGAGGCAACTTTGGAAATAATGACGAATGCGGCTTCACCCCTCTGCACACCACAGATCACTCCACTGATAATCCCGTATTATTAGTCATTCAGGAACACTTTATGTGAGTTGAGGTCCTGCAGGAAGGCGAGGCCAGGTATCCTTTACTGAGCAAATGAGGACGGTTCATACTCTTCTTTCGTTTCTCTTTTTCCTTCCACTCTGTGCTCCTCTCTGCGCAGCTTTCACTAGTCCTTTAAACTGGCCTTGCATCTTTGCCTTTTTCCTGCACAAAAATAAAAACATAAGATTATTATAAAACAAGTCAGCAGCTGCAATTAAAAATCATATTACTGGCCTCATTTACTGAATTGTGCATTAAAGGTGCACGCTGACCAAACCACTGCATACGCGGCTGAAATACATATATGTGAATGTTCCTGTCTGATTCTATTTAGTTTCACCATGATTAGGACACTTCCCTATCACACCCCCTTTTCTCTGTCTGACCTTCTGAGTAGACAACAAAGAATCAGCTGCACACAGTTGTGTGTTCCTCAATGTGGAGGCCAAGGAGATGAAAGGAAGATTTCTCAGTCACAGAAAGCTTCTGCTAAGATGGGCGCTCTTGCCAACAGATTAATCAACAGCCAGGCCGAAGAGATGTTGTCCATCAACGGCTTTGAGCCAAAGTGTCCTACGCCTATGTACCAACATGAGACACGTGCAGGAAATGAGATGTGAGGAGAGGATTCCGCAAAACTATCACAACTGAAGTCATCTGCTTTATGAGTTCAATAAAGAAGGGGTCAGCTACGGCAGTGGTTAGATCTATTTTAAGGGATTTTGACCAATCAGATATGGTTTGACAAAGTAAAGTCACAGCCAGGATCGGGTAAAGGGCAAGACCCACCAGACAGAACAAGGCTCTAGATAGGGCTTCCAACTTTTAGTTGATGCCTTGAAAACAGATGCATCCTCGACCGGTATAGTGAGTGTCTAGCAAGGCTAATAAGCCCTTGGAGGGAGCAAATAACTTATCAGGATGCTTACAATCTCCATACAGAAATTGTTGCAAAAACAGGTGCAAAGGTTAAGTCTTTGCGGCCTGAGGAGTCTGGAGACAGCTCTGGCAAAGGCAAACAGGTTGATCCTCTACTTTCAGAGTGGAGCACACTGTATCAATAAGAGCTGAAAGGGTTTCCTCTAATGAGAGGGTAACTACAGTAGGCTGCGACTCCTCTGGGGGTAAGCTCATCGGTCAAAGATTGAAGTGACTCCAAATCAGAGGCAGAGTTTTTGTGGTTGATGGCTTGGAAACCAGTAAGACAACGAGCAGGTCAGATGTATAATATGCAGGAGAGGGAGATGGAGTGTGCTTGTGGCCTCTATGATCAGAATCAGCATATAACTGGCTGAAAAGGTAGAGGACGCAGCCACCCCCGACAGAGCTAGAAAGGATGGAACAGAGGGAACAGAACTCCAGAATGCAGTTGTCAGCAAAATGAGCTGAGGGCACCAGGTACAGCATGGATGCAGTCTAACCATCTCCGGTAGTATGTCCCCACTCCAACACTTTTCGGCAGCATTACATACCCTGAATATCAATGTTTACTACCATTAGTGTAACACATGTTTGTACTGAATACATTCATACTTAGAGAACTTCAGCATTATTTGCAAGCAGACCTATTCTCTTCCACTAATGTACGATCCTTATATCGAATAACCCCATTTAATAAAGTGTCGCCTTTATTTCCTGTGTCTGTATGTGAAATTTGTCATTTAAAACTACCGGAAGAAAAAAAAAATGGTCAAAAATCAAAACTGAGGTTATTCTCCTAAAGAACATCACAGCGGACCTTCCGAAATAAGTATAGCTTCTTTATTCCTCCCAGAACTAATCATAATAGAAAGCTGACACGACATTCAGAGCTGCCAAAACTAGTATGTGAAAGGGTCCACTCTGCAGCTGCTTACACAGGATGTAAAATTAAACTATGCGTCAGAGAAATGTCTCCGAATGTAATAAAAGATTTGAAGAGTAAAAAGAGAAAATGTTAATCTGCCAGACCACACGGCTCACAGAAGTACTCGGCATGCTGCCTGCTTCACAGCTCCAAGCTGACAGTTTGCTTTCCATATCTCTCCGACTATATTCCGCTGTGTCAGTCTAATGGAGGCAGCATGTTCTTTTCCAGGTTAGGTGCATTAAATCCATCACTTACCTGCGGTTGAGCTTGGCTTTGTTCAGGGGAATATAGGCGTATGGGTCATGTTTGCCTTTCTGTGTTATATCGCCTTTTCCTTTCTGCAAGGAGAAAACACATGTGAAAACCCAGCAACAAAACAGCATTTATATTTCTGTGTTCTCTCTTTATAACGGTAATCTGTGTGTACAATTATTGTGCCAATTTCACATAAACCCCAAATCCAGGATTTAACACTAACAAAACCTCAACTGTCCAGTGCATAATACAAAAAAAAACAAAAAACTATTGTTGCCCTTACCATGTCATCTATTTCTTGGAGTCCATTGAGGGACACAGAATTGTAAAATACTTTATGGCATGTGGGTTGTACTACCAACTACAGGTGGTTTGGGCTGGGGGCAAAACAAAAAATGTTAAGCCAGCACCCGTATAACCCCACCCCCAGTCATCATGAACCAGATTTGTAAGCAAGCCGTACATAAGGCCAAAAACACAGAGGGGTGGGACCTGTGTCCTTCAATGGATAACACAGAGGGGTGGGACCTGTGTCCTTCAATGGATAACACAGAGGGGTGGGACCTGTGTCCTTCAATGGATAACACAGAGGGGTGGGACCTGTGTCCTTCAATGGATAATTATGTTATGAGAAGTACAAAATTCTTATTTTCTTTTTCATTTATTGGGGGACTCGGAATTTTAGAATAGTCTACGACATGTGCGGCATTAGGAAACCAACAGGCGTGAAATTTACTCGGATCAACATCCACATGGAGGCTTGATGAATAACAATTTACCAAATATGTAAAAGGTCACTGTCAAGGAGAGACATGCAAGATCAACCTGGAGGTCCAGATCAGAACTGACAAACTCCAAGGAGAAAACCAGTATTTGAAGGAGCACTGAGACTTTACCACCAACAATGTGGAGGAAAGCCAATCATCAACCTGAAGATGAACACAGGTGGACGATACTAAGGAAATGAATTCATTTAGATCGGCAGGTAAGTTAGTCAGCAAAAAGAAAATTGTAGGTGTGGAGGGCCCAAGCCTATTACCCCAAACCCTTGACTTTAGGAAAAGGAAACTAGGACAGACTAGAAATGTCCATGAAAATATAAAACTAGATAACAGTTGAAAGCTTAGATAAGGAATCTTTCACCCCTGACATTAGGACAAGGGAGCTCTATAATATTGAGGGATGTTCCCAGACAGGAATTAACCTCTAAAAGAGAGGGGTGTGTGTGTGGGGGTGTGTGTTACAGTCCCAATCCCAATGTGTGTGTGTAATATAAAGTCCCAATCTTCAAATAAATCAAGCAATATTTAGATAATTAGACTGTGTGGAGTTTATACCTAAGAAAGAACACACACAAGCTTTACAAATTCCTCAATGTCTTCTAAAAAAAAGGTATTCCAAAATGCTGCCCCCTTCCCCACAGACAAGGGATCAATCGTTTCCAGTCACCAAAGAGGAGAAATGTTATGGTGGTGACACCTGGAGGACATCTCATCTCACTGGTGTAGTAACACTTACCTTTGATTTGTAATTCCCTCCAAAGTCTGGCTTTTTCTGAATAGGTCGATGTATCCCAGAGCCGCCAGCTGTCAGAGAAAAAGATGAGGGGGTCAGGAGAAAAGATCATAGGTTGTAAAGCATTGAGGTAGATATGACAGATCTAGTGAAGGAGGTATGACGGATTGTAGGTTCTAAACTAGTGAGGGAGGTAGAACAGACTCTACATTTAAATTCTCCAACACTGGGGAGGGGAATACTAGTATCGGAAATGGTTTACAACTTTCAAACTGTTTCCAAGTTAAAAAACCCAACTGCAGCCCAAATGTTTTGTTTTGTGTACAGCAAAGACCCAAACAGCAAAAAACAGGATTTTAATTCTTTTCATTTTCATTCATTTGGGGACACAGCAAGTAGTGGCATCTACTGGAGGTTGAACGCAAACAAAAACACCTGTAGGCAAGCCCAGTGTATAATCCCTCCTCCTATCAGAATGCCTTAGTTTTGCAGTAAAGCAGTACAGTGAGCACGATCATAAACACAGAGGGAAAGGATCGGTCTCCCTCAATGGACTTCAGGAAATAGGAAGGGTTCTACCCTGGGCTCACCTACAGTTTTTTTTTATAAATGCCAGTGTACAATCCTCATCTAGGTGACAATCTGAAAGTTTAAGACTTCCTATGTCTCTCAATGGACAAGAGAGAAAATAATATTTCACATTTGTGTGGTTGCTGGCAAATGGAATGAAATGCAGTTGAGCCTATTTTTAGCCACCCAACAAAAAAAAAAAAAGGTCACACTGCAGCAATGGAAAGGTTATAACAGAATTTCAGCGGAGAAGAAATTCACCTTTATATTGGGATGTCTTCTCTACAGCCTCATCATCGCCATCATTCTCCGCTCGGAAACGTTTCTTCTGGGCATTTTTCTGCAAGCAGCGTTAAAGAGAAGCTACAATATAGTTTCAATATTTACACAGCAAGTTCTTTTATCATTTGACTGAAAACCCATGACATAACTCCTATTTTGTCCTAGTTTGTCCCTCCATATTATAATTCTGGGGGCCTTCTGTACATGCGGCAATGTAATTATGACTGCTGCATAAGGCTGAACTCTAGACATGCTGTTAATACAGAGGAAATGCATCAATTTGAATTCTTTTACTTGTAAATCAATTTGTCAATCTGTACAGACAGCCTTGTGATCCAGGCACCCTGTAATCCAGGACACCAGGGTTCTAGACCTCCATTGCAGTGGCAGCACAGCTTGGCCAGAAACACAACCAGGCTACTGACAATAAGGGAGCAGCAGGATGAGGTGATTGTTCTGCTCACACTCTGTGCTCTCCTCATGCCAGCACACCAGGGCTGCAACAGATCCTCTTTGGTGCTTACCTTTCATAGCTGGAATGCTTTATAATGGATTACAAGATATAATGAAAAATCCAGGTACTTGAAGTAGCTATATCTACTTGGAGCCCGGCTTTAATAACTACTATCTAAAGCTCGGCCTTCTAAAAAGCCCACTGCTATCAGTCAGTTAGACTTGACCCATCGACATGTACTGAATTAGGAGTGAAGCACAATCACCAAACAAAGTGATTATGTATGCAATGACAAATAGACCTTGCACCGTGTACATACCTAATAAAATATGTCCTCCTGTGACCCAAAACTCAACATATAGTGGGCTATAGCCCGTTATATGCTGACAGTGCAGAGCCGGGCTACACCCAGGAAAGATCCTGACAATATAGCTGGGATCCACCCTGCTGCCTGCCTGATTGACTGCTGGGTCCGCCTCTCTAGAGCCAACTGAGCACCCCCCCCATGCTGGAGGAATAGGGAGAGGGAAGGGAATCCGTGCTAGGAGCTGTGACCGTCATTCACCGCTAAGTGCAGGGAGACGATCGGAAACCTGGCAATCAGCGGTTTGTGATGGCTCAGTTCATTATATATACTGTATAATAGTATAGAACTAAATATCCTGTGAAAAGACATGTCTAAAAAGTTATGTACAAGAGATGACAGAAAAGGAAAGACCGCTCTGATATGAGCAGAGAACAAGATAATTGTAGTTAGTTATCTTTTCAAGAGCGATTTATTTGATTGCTATAGTCGCAGATTACGGCAATTCAATAAAACTGTTCTGATCATATGAGCATGTCAACTCAAACCAGTATTTATGAAAGCATGTCTGCTATGATCAAAAAATTATTAAGCTTAAAAGGTACTTTTTAAAATTATTTCTAGTTGGGCAAAACAAAATATTTCAAGCTGAAGTTTAGTTCAATTTGTTTTGGTACGCAGCCCCAGGGACATAACTTACCACCAATGGGATGTGTCCCACGTCCTGTGGCTGCTGCTTCTTGTAGCAGTGCTCCCCCGAGTGCCATCAGATACCCCCCTAAAGCACTGATCTTCCTGTGATTGGACAAGGCGATTCATGTCATTCATTCGCCTGTCCTCCAATCACAGGTCGCTTTAAAAATTGTCCAATTCGCGCTCCTGGACCATAAGGGCAGTCCCCGACTCGTCGCCACTACCAGACTCCGCCTGGGAGGAGTCCCCCAGGTCGGGCTGCGCAGCCGCAGCAGAAATTTTCCCCTCTTCCTCAGAGTCCCCAGAAAGGACCGGGGAGGGAGCCGGCAAAACGCGCTTCCGTGGAAGGCGCTGCGCCAGCGCACGTTCCATACGGGACATAATCCTGTCCATAATGGAGGAAAAAACCTCCACAGACAACATTGCGCCAGTGGACCCCCCAAAGACCCCGCAGGCACCAGGGGAGACTGTGAAAGGGGTGCAGAGGCACAGGCTGCGCAAAGGGGGGATGTGGGAGAGGTCCCTGAAGAGAGGTCGCAGCCCTCGCAAGGCACTTCCGGGCAGGCCGTCCCCACAATCCATGTCCCGGCACTAAACTGCACCAGAGTAGGGCCACAAGCAAGGCAAGGGAGTCCCCAGCAGGTACCGCCCCCAACGTTGTGGTCCCCAGCAACCGACCCCCGCAGTCAGACGACCCTCCTACAGTACCCGGCTCCCAGTGCGTCCTCACCCGACCGCGTCCCGGCGAGAAAGACCGATCCGGCCGGGTGACGCGCTAATACAGGGACCCGAAAGCGGCGCACCGGAAGTGACGTCAGGACGAGGGCGCACGCGCCCACACCAAACATGGCG